TCAGCCAAAACTTTGCAGAACGCGTTGCCTAAAATCAAGGGGGCATCTGTGACGTTGGGACCTTGCTTTAAAGTCACTGTAGAAAATTAACCGTGCACAAGATTCTGAGCTAAACGACAACTTAGAGTTCTTACCGTAAATCTTTTATTTCTTTGCAGTAAGGTGCAAGCTTGTGAGCTAGATATGGTATTCCCTCCTTAGCAAAGCAAATAGAAAAAAATTCTGAGTCACCCTCTTGGGAGAGCACATCGTTTTTACCATGTTGAAGATTCACTAAGATATTTGTCAAAAAAAATTATCATAGAGTTATCTAACCTAAATGTTGAGCGCAATTTCATGGTGTAAAGTATGAGAGGACTAGCTGCTTGTTAGAAAACTTGCTGCGACAAAGACAAAGAATAATTGCACCAGCTGTCCACCCAACAGGATTTCATTGTCGAGTAGGTTCTAGAAGTTCTGGCTAACCTAACCAGACATAACTTTTCCACGAAATTACCCAGCCAAACTAGTTTGACTGCAGTTACAATTAGGAAATACAGACGCGACATAAATAGCACTAGAAATATTAGGCGATGTTCGATTAATTTGATAGAATCTCAACGGAAATTTGCAGAGAACTATATTGAACACATTTCTACCTAAGTCAACACTTAGAATACGCTCAATAGAAATTCAAATAAAAAGAGACAATAAATTCAATATTTTTCCTTTTCTGTAAATACTATATTGGATGATGCGAACGGCTTAACTAGGCGCAGTTCTTTGATAAAGCAAAAAACCTTGATACAATTTTAAAATTATAGAATTGCAATAGCTTGCCACTCAACCGAAAGGTAAACTCCATTATTGCGAAAAAAAACCTATGTATAAAGTAGCTATTGAATCAACCAGAATCCATAATACGTCGGGAATTTATTGAATTAAAAGCGGTAATTAAATGGCAGCTCCCTTTAGGAGTGATACGTTCAATGTGCTTTTTGTGGATTCACTAATTCTTAACAAATAGTTTATCATGGTGATGTACATGCATTAAATCTTGGTAATCATTAAATTCAGATCTGAATTAGGTATGAGATTGAGCTAGAACATGAAAGCCATATTCCATACATTGTTCATTAAACAACTTGCGTGAAGATAGAAGTTTTTGGATTTTGATATCATTTTTGAGAAAATTAGTTGTGTAGGAATGCTTTTCATTCATTCTTCGATCTATTCAATATTAATGTACACGAATGTGCCGAAGAAATATCAGGATGAAGATTAGATTGTTCTTAAAGATATTAACAATGGCTCTTGAG